AGGATTGAACTGCAAAATGTATGCCTCGGTATGAGTCTACAAGTTGTATTTGCGCTGTGTAAACACCTAATTAAAGCGAATCGGACGTGAAACGAGCAGGTGTAAATTCAGGGGCGGGATAGTTTTGAAACTTCTCGTTTGATTTAGTTACAGAAAGGGGTGAAGTCGCCTAACCCAATGGAGTTGAGGGCAGCATCATAATTCCTAACTATGTAAACCTGGATACGGACTCTCGTGGTAGTTGATCGATAAATTTCTCCAAACTGGCGTAGAACAACAGTTATTAATTTAGGTGTTCGGTGCATTACGGAGTTCGGCGGGAAGCACATCGTATCCCTTTGGCAAACAGGGCAACTTTAATATTTAACCTGCACAAAATAAAAAGTTGCTGCACTCGCGAGGATTTCTCGTCCCATGGACACTGCGGATTAGCGAAACCCTTTAAATATTCATCGAATCTGCATTCGGCTTTCCTTTTGTTCAATTTTTCATTCCAATTTTCTTCACACTCCACCTTTTATATGCTCGTTCTTCTCGAATTACACGTTTATCAAAGTCTCGCTGTGTGATCCTTCGGTTGAGAATCTACCTTCGATCTCTCTCCTATCCTCCTATGCGAGTCAGTCTCCTGCATTGTGCATGGACGGAAGAAATCCAGTTTCGAACCGGGACACAGACAAAAGCTCGCACTACATCACGAGCTGGAAATTACCGTCGAATATACCCCAGATAAGCTTTAGCTCGTCCGAGAACTTGCTGAAAAGGGGGCTGGGTAATTTAGCTTTACGTCCTTGGGAAATAACTTTATTCAGCCCAATAAACCTTCAAAGTTTTATGTAAAAAAAAGTCATACCCCAAGCGGTACGTGTTCTATTTGTTTTAAAAAACATTTTTTATATGGCTGAAATTAGCATTTTTAATTTTATAATAAATAATTATTTTCGGCTGCTTTAGTAAGTAGAATTAAATATGGCTTGATAAATTTTTATCATAAGTTTCTCCCTTAAGATATCTAAAGTACACAACTTAAGTCCTACTGATATCTGTTGTTCACTATTTAACTTAGAATTGTTGATTAAATATTTTTGAGATTAGTTAGAATGTTATGATTTTGCATAATTTGTTATAGAAAATCTATCTAAACTACATAACTATCTAATTAAATTCCCAAATATGCGCAACCTACGCCAACCTTTTTTTTGCGCTGATGAGGAGAAAATGCATTACGCACCCCGGCCTACTGTTGGCGCCTGAATATGGTCTAGCTGGAAAATCGTACTTCGGCTGGGAGTTTTTAGTGGGTAGCTGGGGCCCTCATTCCATACCCCGGAACCGCCCATCACGGCATTTTTTCGGGGTTTTCTTGTTCTTCACTCTTCACTTCCTCGTTCCTCTTCGTCCATGATTTGGAGGCATTTTGAAATACAATAAAATACATCTCTTTAATTTTTAGAATAGAGTTATTTTAATTATATACCTGAATGAGGGGGGCGGGTCCCCCCTCAGTTCTTCCTCCTTCACCCTTCCTCTCCAACGGGTATCCGTTCCAGTGTTTCTTTCTCCATTGTATCCATTTACCTCTCTCACCGGGGATTATATGCATTAAAAGATAAACACATAACAGGAGATTAAAACACATCCACAACATTCAACAAACACAAAACTCCTTCCTATAAATTTATCTATCACAGTAGTTTTTCTTTGTATATCTATAAAAGTATCACAGTTACTATCACATAAAAGCGTATCTTTTATTCAGTTCACAGCCGATCCCACAATCTACGCCAACCTAATCCATCTGAACCTAACTCAACTCTATCCTCTGCCAAACATATCTTCGATATCCAAACACATACCCAAATTTGCCTAACCCACTCCAACCTAATTTATCTGTATCCAACTATACTATTCTCGCCGAAAAATAACTCCAAAATCTAAATATTTGTCCAAATATACATTTTACTTCCATCTTATAACAACCACGTTACTCTTAAGATTATCAGAGACGATGTTGCCTTCCTGAGCTGAAGAGACCAATCGAAGTCGAAATAAGCGAATCAAAATAATCTGTTATGTTTGCCGAGCGATGCTTTTGAACGCATTCTTTTTGAAATGCAGTCTTTTACTTGACAAATCTTTCCAAAGTGCGAAGTTTACACAAATCTGGAAAAGGGTTTACTTTCTACGAAGTGAAACAATTTGACGAATACGAAACAGGTTGTGCCGAAGACAAAATGTGATTCTTTCAAAGTATTTAAATTCGTAACTGAACTTAACTAAGACCACTTTTGACTTTGAACTTCAGTTCTTTGTCTTTTGTGAACTGATTTCTCTAATGTTTTTGCAACAGACATATCTAGGTGAGAATGTATAAGACCTTGGTCAGACCGGTTTTAACTTAAAATGAAATTCTGGAGCGAACAAAAGCGTACTTCGGGACTTTGAGAGAAAGATACTCCCTAGATTATTTGGACAAGCGGTAGAAGCAGATGAAATACGGGAAAGAATGAATTTTGATCACAGAAATTTGATGGGAGGCGAAGACGTCATACGGTTTGTAAGGTCACAAAGACTTAAATGGACTCGACACATTATTAGAATGCCCAAGGAAAGAGCGCCGAGCATAGAGCAAACATGGCAGGCACAAGAAGTAGGGGCAGGCCCCACACGAGATGGAAAGATAGAGATAATGATGTCAGGTTTCTGAACATTGAAAATTGGGGTCGCTGAAGACCGGATGGTTTGGAAAAGGAAGAACTTTCGGGAGTAGTTTGGCAGCACCAGCAGCGAACTATTCAGGTCGGTGGTCTCAAAAGTTAGAATTGCCCTGATGATTGCCAACCTCCGAATAGGAGACGGCACTTAAAGAAGAAGAAGTTGGCATGATGCCACTCTTTAACATTCTTAAAAAAGGTTTGGCAATCCAATAAATCTGTCCGACCGGTCTTGCCACTTATGATACGTTTGTTCTCTATTTTTTGTCGAATCCTTTTCGAAACTGACATACAGAAGGCGATGACCTAAACCTATCCAACCCAACCAAACCCAGCCCTACCCAACTCCCTACTCCGTCCCTAACAATCCCCTGAGTTCAAATTCCAACTCCACTTGAAATAAATATTTCCAAAATGCACACCTAAATCCAATTAATAATTTTTACTAAAATTACCATATCTACTCCTACATAATCTGTACTTTCCAACACATTCATATCACCACAAACTTTGGGGTTTGGTTGGTTCACACAGTAGCTTAACAATCCTTTACCAAATCATCCTTTACTCCGTGTAACTGAAACACCTAAAACCACATTTAATTAGTTGTGTTCTCATTGACGGTTAACGTGACGTTTTGGCATCCAACGTTGAATTGCCTATGTTAACAGTGTTTGTATCGCTGTCCTTTAATACCATTACACCATTACAAAGCGGTTATTTTGACATTACGATAAGGAATTTTTTTTTAAATAATATGTCTATATATTGTACAATGTAACGTAATAATACGCTATACACACGAGTTGGTGTTTAACAATGCAACGCAACAATAAAATAAATCAATACTTTCAAAATGATTAAGAAATAAATAGTTATATTTTTTTAAAAGCATATCTTTAGGGAGGTGTGCATCAATTTAAATCTAAAGCCATTCTATTATTCTTCAACTAATATGTTAAGTACTGATCGTAACAACTATAGTTATACGTGTCTAAATCCGAAATCGAAATAACTTAATTTTAATTATTATTTATTTCAAATCATTTTTCAACAATGATTCAATTTTTAACCTAATTCTGATTCACTACAACAATAGGTATACAACAACCAACATCCGTATGAACGTCACATCAGCAAGTTTACTCTCGGTGGTTTATCTCGTCCGGAGTCTTATTGAATTCAGAGCACACGGCATCGACTTGCACAGCTTTTCCGGGCAATCTAAACAAGATCTCTGAACAAAATGACTGGTTAGTGTCGAACGTTTTAAAGCGTACGTTTAGAGAAGACGTGAAACGTCCCGATGTGCAGCATTCTTAGTACGTCGTCGAAGATTTTTCTAAAAATCCATGTGCTATTTCTCATTCGTACGTTTTAAGTAAATGCTCGTGTTCAGGTCTCCGTCCCGGCAGAATCTTCAGTTGGAAAAAGGACAAGAATAGTGTCGCGGTTTCGGTGGACCGAACTAAAAAGACGTTTCGCGCGTCGACGCCTGAGTGATATATGCACTTCCGGTGGGAGACGGAAGGCACCGCCGCCGAAAGTTTGATGACGCCATTTTTCATAACGGCATTGTTCGGTCTCCACCCGGAGGGCATAAATCGGTCTGTCGCGGATTTACTGCTACTGAAAATTAAAAGCGGATACTTTATGTACCTAGCGCACGAAGGGACATCGAACTTCAATAGCGTTTATTGGAGTTGAGGGCTATGATCGATGGTCTATTCAACGTAGTGTTTTACAGATTCCATTATATCATTTTATCGAATTTGTCTTTACTCACTCACATTAACGGTCTGTTTGAGAGAAAAGTTATTTTGCATATATTGAGTCTTGAACGGCTCCTCAACACTTTATCACCCTAAAACTCCCTTTAGCCGGTCCCATTTTATTTCCTGCTCTTTCCATATCTCCAATTTTCACGGGCCTCACGACTCAGGGATTTCGACTTATCCTAGCTGAAATATCAGCAATTGCAATCGAGCGGAATATATCTTATTCAAACACGTTTAAAAGGAAGTGGAAAAAAGAATAAAAGGGAAATAGACGAGGTGTCCAAGCCATGAATCACCGGGAGCCTAAATTCGTCGCCCTTTTCAATAGTCGCTTTTCTGTATCGGAAGGCGACCGGCGCCTTCGATATAAACTACAGGCATCGCGTCGGGACGCCCGATGTTAGGATCGCTGGCTTTTGAAAACGTGCCCAGTTTGCGAAACGTCCTCGGGGCAGGTGTCGGTAATTCCGCAGGTGTGCGTCCACTTTATATTTTGCCCTCGTTTCAGATAAGCCCTATCCCATCCCGGAAGAGTGGCCCAACGAGGTCAAGGTTTGGGGTTATATTGGCGCCGTTGTAAATCTGACCTGTGAAAGCGTCGCCGAACCCTTACCAAAATTCGACTGGACCCATCAAGATGGTGCCCACCTCATCAAGAAGTATGGGCATAAACATAACTCGGAATATATATCGGTGTTGGAGGTAAGCTTTTATATTGATTTGAAAATTTTAATAACTCAAAGTAAAAGAATATTGAAACAACCTTTTTTTACAGGTAAATATAAAGCATCCAAACGTATTTGGAAATTTTAAATGTCTTGTAACAAATCGATATGGAACTTTGGTGAGACAATTTGTGTTAGAAGAGGGAACTTTACCGAAAAGCCCAGATTTTATAGAGCTTAAAGGAGCAAACAGCGACCTTCTGGACATTGGGGTCCATAATTCAGCATTTAACGCAACCGATAGTATGGCTCCTAAATATTATTCCATCAAATTTAAAGTGGCAGGGAAACGGGAAGACTGGAAGGAGAGAATAATGCTTTTGAATGCGGGTAAGCCTCCTACCTCCGTCCCGTTTTTGCTTCGCAGCGCAAAAACCGCGGGGCGAATTTAAAATTAAACCGGCACACAAAAAGGAACAAACTTTCGCCCTGTGCCAAGCATCGAGTTTTTGATGAGTTCCGAGACAAAAGGTGTTATTCCTTGACGTTCGAATCGGTAGATGCCGGCGTCTCGGCGCCAATTATAAAGTCAAATATCCGCTATTCAAATTTATTAAAATTAATTGCTTTATTAAAATGTTATTAAAAGTTTACGGGTGACGATACGACCGCGGATGGCATTAAAATTCCGTTGGAAATTAAGATTAATCGTATAATTCGCGTCGTTAGTTTCGTGCAACTTTATGCATGCAAATTGTTTCCGGTCCGATTATTTTCTATAAATACACACCTCTGAAAAATCGATAACACTCATAACGAAAATAATATAAAGAAAAAGAATCCTTTCAATGAGTTCCGTCTTCGAAGTGTTTCCACAATAATAAATACCTTAAAGATCCTTAAAAGAAAATCGGATATTCATAATACACGTTTTAGAGGTGAAACCTTAAAATCTCATATGGTCTCGTTTAGTTATATTCATTTTAAAAAGGATTTCCACATTCAATATTTTAAATTGTTCGAGAAAATCTTACAATCTAGTAAAAGTCATAGAAAACCTTTGAATCATGGAAAGACTGGTAAAATGTACAGGGTTCTTTTGTCAGGATCAGCTTTAGAGACAAGTACGTAACAAGGAACGAGAAGAGAATGCTTTGGATTTCAAACGTTTTCCTTCTTATAGGGAAGCAGCCACGTTCATTATTAAAAGTTCAGCTCCATCGCTTCTCTCGGCGCAGAGATATAAGTTTAGCGCAACTATTATTAGTTCGCGGATATTACAGGGATGTTGCCCTTTTGATCGACTACAACAAAAAACTGAAAATATCTTACCTCCGTTTGATGTTTCGAGATTTTTCTTAAGAAAAATTCCTTTCATCTGATCCCAATATCTTTTGGTATTATCTCATTAACGATATTATAAAATTTTTAACAAATCAATCTCTATTGTAGCCTATTCATAGTTGTAGGGATTCAATACAACACAATAGCTCGTTATCCACAATGTAGTGAATTAAATATCTACTAATAAAGTATTCATAATAATGCAATCGATTTAAATGAAATTTTCATGAATATACGTTGAATTCAATTTCACCAAATTAATTAATTTAAATTATTTTATGTTTCAGAAAATAGTTATCCACTGAGAAATCTCGCTTCGAACACTAAATACGAAGTTACAGCCGCTTCGAAAAATGATGTTGGTTACAGCGAATATTTAAATATTTCCATATTTACTACGTTGAGTTCAGGGACAACGATGAATCCGTTCAAGTTTCTTTTCTATTACTACGCTATCATAATTATTTTTTTCTGTTGGTGATCGTCGTCTTGTCGCTACTAATTGGTTTGGCCGTTTTGCTGTGCGGATACGTTACAACAAGAGGACGACCATTCGACGGTGTATAAAAATCTCCAAAAAAATGTATATAAATAATAATTTAAAAATCGGTGTATTGTTAAAATGAGGTGCTCGAGTTCTTTTGGCGCAAGCCCGCTTGTTTTTGTCAAAAAAAGTTTTTATTTAATTGACGTATATCTGTAAATAAAATTGTTAATCTTTGATATATTTTATTTCGAAAATTTTATTACGGGTGATCGTTTTGCTTAGCGGAGTCGTAGCGGGTAGATTTTTATGGTGTACACTGTAAAGGACAAGTTCGAAATATAAGGCTGACTAAAATATTATATAACTGTAAAAGAGTCAATAGCGTTTAATACTCTAATGCTTCCTTAAGAGGACACTTTTTCATCGTTTAGATTTGCTGTTATTTGACCAATTAAGTGTACGCGTATAAATACTTTTTTACAATTACATCATCATTAAAATTAGCATTAATTTTATCGATGATGAAATTGAAGCAATCTTATATGTATACATAAATGATGTTGGACAATGATAATAATAATATATGTATAGTGTAGTTAGATAAGCGAAGGTGTAACGATAAAATAACGACGTGGATGTAAAATTGTAGAATGTCGTTCGTTTCTGTTTTCAACTATCGTGTTAAATTAATTGAGTGAGTATTACCATTCGTTTATCGCTAGTCATCTATATGAATGTTACACGAACCAAGACTTTTTTGTGATACCCTATTCAAAAATATAATATATTAGATTCTGTTGCAAAATATCACTTTATTTCCACCTTAAAAATCTCTAATAACACTTAAATACGAAAATATAAACATATTATTATTAAAAAAAAATTTTATCATATTATTTCAAACTTCATTTTGGTCTTTATTTTATGTTATATAAATTGGGACTTAATTTAAAATAGACGTACCGATGAGAAACATTGTTACCCTTAAACTACGAAATATTACTTTCCTGTTTTATCATTTTCAGATTGATTTGAATCATTCTCACGTTTAAGTTTCATATCACTGTCTTTAGAATTAAATTCTGGCTCAGTAAAACATACTTCCATTTGAACAGCGTCAGGTTTTGTTCTAGAATTTCTTCGGTAATTGTGATAATTATTCTTTTCGATTGGAGTGGGCTTTCTTCTACTCAGATGACGTTCAACCCATCTTAACATTGTCAATACCGAATCTGTACTTGGAAGTCTTCTTTCAGCAGACGTTTTTGTTATTTGAGATGAGGTAACTCTAAATGTTGCTGCCATCCCTTTTAATGCCTATTAAAAAAAAATTTAATACATATTTAAATTACATATTAAAGTGATTATATATACAAATAAAGGTGTTTTTAAGGTTTGTTGATTACCAATGTTTAGATTTTAAGCAAAATCTCAATGATACCTATATAATTGACAAGTTGTTTCATGAATGTGCCAGATATCTAAGGAATTAATGATATCTTTAAAAGACTCCAACCATTCTATATCTAATAAGCACATGGGTTTTTAAATGTCGTGCCTTTCCCTGTAAAATCGAGTTATTATGTTAACAACCAAGGACGGTAGAATCTAAAAGCACCCCTACATATTTAGTTTTTTTTGTAATCCAAAAAATGACCTTAGTATTGGACAAATACGTCACACCGCTGTTTATAATGTGTTTTTTAAGAACGGCTAAACCCAAATATTTCTAGTTCTAGATCTAGTGGTACTGTTAGCTCTAGTTTTAATTGTTATTCAGCACTAAATTGTTGTATGTTTTTATATAAAAAAGAGTAGCACTACCGCTAGACCTCGAACTCGAAACATTCGGGTTTAGCCGTCTTAAGAAATGCATGGCTAAACCCGAATGTTTCTAGATCTAGTTCTAGTGTTTGTGTTAGCTCTAGTTTGAATTGTTATTCACCACTAAATTATAGTATATTTTTATTCAACAAAAGGCAGAACTAACGCTAGACCTAGAACTAGAAACATTCGGGTTTAGCCGTCTTAAGAGACACATGGCTAAACACGAATGTTTCTAGTTCCAGGTCGAGTGTTAGTTCTAATCCTAGTGTTAACTCTAGTTTTAGTTGTTATGAACCTTATTAAGTCTGAAACTAACAACATTACAAAACACGAATGAAATAAATTAAACTTTTCCTAATTCAAAGTATGAAATAGTAGTTGCCTAGCCAGGCGTGACGTCACGAACGGGCCGTCGAGCTTTGCACCTACTAACAGGATGTACCAGTCCTCTTCGATTCTACCGTCCTTGGCTAACTACATGTAGTGTATATCGGCGTGTCAGAAAAAGAGATACTAGACACCAAATGATTTACTTAATATAGGAATAAATCTACAGAAAGATTTGATAAGGTTTGAAAAAAATGTAAGGATAAATCTGCTTTGTTTAATTTAGATCAGAGGTGTTTGTAATTCCGAGCAAATTATATATTTTGGTTTCAATTAGTATAATTACACCTGCCTATAAAACTATTAACAGTTATAATAATTAAATCGTAAAATGCGATAAATCCTTCATCGAACTGAAGCGTTCCAGTGGCAATGCCAATCATTTGATTATTCTGCACGCTTGTACGTCCAAATATATGACACAATCGATCCTGATTAATTAGGACACTGATTAATCGGTATAATCGCTTATTTCAGACAAATTGAAAAAACCTAATTTAACTAACTAAGTTGATTACGATTAACACAACTGAGATACTTAATTATATTGTTTCAATATCTGCACATAATCTCATTTTCTTCATGGAAGATGTAATACCAACAATTGTACTCAGGAATTAAGCGACAGATTTCACTTTTTTATTAAAGTGATAGAAGTGATTAAGTCACCCAAGTTGGTCACAATAAGATTTATCAAGGTAAGTATCATTTTATTTTACCCCGCGTTTTGACAGAAAATAGATCAAGAAAAATCAAAAAATTAGTGGTGATCAAAACTTTGTGTAATAAACTTTATTCTCAAAGCGTTTAACACACAAACAAATATATTTCGTGAAGTAATGTTATGTAAAGTTTCTTTTGAAATTTCAATTATATTAAAGTATGTTAAGTAAGGTTACTTTTCTTTTGAGATATCATTGGCGGCGGAGTAGCTGATATGATAACCAGTTTCAGGTTGATATAATATTAATTACTGATCTTCGGCCGTAAGCAATTTTGGCTTAATTAGTCAAAAATCTACAATTTCCGATGATATGTATTTTTAATGCTGAAATATTTTGGTTATTAAAAAATATAAATCGACGTATGACGACATCTCGAACCGTTCTCAATTTATTTTTACTTTTGACGCGAACTGTATATATTATTATTTTACCTACTCAAAAAAGGAAAGACGCGACGTGCAGTCTATATAAAACACAAACCAACACCATTTTTTCCGAATACCCGGAATCTCTCTCTCCGCATGAAAAATTTAGCAATTTATATAATTAGTGAAAATAAAATAAGTTTGAATTAACAGGAAAAGTATATAAAAGCACCTTTTGTGATCAAAAATGTTATAATCTCTTTTATACTTACTTGCATTGCATCTTCATCGGTAACATCATCTCCAACATAAATGATTCGAACCCTTTCACACCAATCTACTCCAAATGCAGTTCTTAATATATAAATAGAAGCTCTGCCTTTATTCCATTGAACTGGTGGTTTAGCTTCAATCGCACAATGAGCACTGGTGGCTTGAAACCCAGCTTCTTCTATTAATTTTCGTGCTTGTTCAACTAATGGCGGTCTCTTTTTGACCGGTGTTTCTCTGTAGTGGAAAGTTAATAAAGCACCTTTGTTTTCAACCCAAGCACCCTCTTTGCAAACTTGTTTTTGTAAATTTTTCAATAACCCCTCCACTTTTCCTTGAAACTGTGCCGGCAATGGATGCACGAATTTTGTACCATCTGGATGTAAAATTTCTAATCCGTGACTACCGGCGTATGTTATTCCATCGATACCAACCTTCGAAATTAAAATGAAATTAAGGGTAAGAAATAAATAATTTTATTATAATAAAGTTACCATTTTTTTAACGTTATCAACGTTCCTTCCCGATATAACAGCGATATAAATATCTGAACTGTTAGATAATCTTAGTAAGATATTTTTTGTTTCCGGTGGAATTACAGCAAGATCTGGATGTGGAGCTATCGGAGCTAATGTACCATCATAATCCAATAACAAAGCTAATTTATGAGAATCTCCAATATACCTTCAAAATGAATAACACTTATATGCATCAATATTAAAATTAAGTCTTACTTTGACAAATATTCATCAAAATCATCTAAAGTAACGGCAGGCATGGTGACAGCACCAATATCATCGTGATCTTGTTGAGTTTCCAATGATCCCATAGCGGAAAGAAAAGATTTCGTCCAATAATTAACATCGTTCAGCTTTTCCCTACGTCTTAAATAATTCATGCGGAGTAAACGTTCGTCTTCGGGCATCGTTAGTGCTCTATGAATCACTTCTGCAGCACTATCTACTTCGTACGGATTACAAACTAATGCCTCGTGCATGGTTTCACCGGCACCAGCAAATGGTGAAACCACGAGAACTCCCGGAGGATTCTTAATTTGACAAGCGACAAACTCCTTTGCAACTAGATTCATTCCATCTCTTAAAGGTGTTACCACACCGACAGCGGCATCTCTATAAAACGCGGCTAATTCGCCTTGATTAACTGAACCGTATATATATTTAATCGGTGACCAGTTTGGTGTGGTAAACTTTCCATTAATCCTGCCAACTAATTGATCCATTTCTTCTTTTAAATCTTGATATTCTTTTACATCCGTTCTTGATGGTACAGCAATTTGTAAAAAAGTTACTTTTTCTTTATGTTCTGGATGTTTTTCTAATAATTTTTCGAACATTTTGAATCTATGCACCAATCCCTTAGTGTAATCTAATCTATCGACCCCTAAGATTATTTTCGGATTAGAAGGTAACAGTGGAGGTGCTTTTGTCGCGAGTTCCACAAATCTATCATAAGGTATACCAATAGGTAATGGTCTAACTCGCACTGTTCGCCCTCCATGTTCAACTAACAAATTCTTTCTGTCTACACGACACCCTAAATTTCTTTGACAACAATCAACGAAATTTAAGCAGTAATCGGTGATGTGAAAACCCACCATATCACAGCCAAGTATGCCTTGAAGTATTTCGTCAGACCAGGGGAGTAATCGATAAATATCCCATGGTGGAAAAGGAATGTGAAGGAAAAATCCCAATTTACATGGAATGTTTTCATCGTCAACAGTTTGCCGAATCCAGTTTGCTGCCAACATAAGATGATAATCGTGCACCCATACTAATGGGGCTCCACCTTTTTGAGGTTCATTCATTAAAGATCTTAAAGCTATAATGGCACAATCGGCAAATGTTTTATTTGCTGTTATATAATTTTTCCAATGTTCGAGTTGAAAAGATGCTCGGTCAGGCATTGAATGGAATAATGGCCAAAAAGTTGCGTTACAACATCCGTTATAGTATGAGTCAAACATTTTAGGTTCTATTCTAACTACTACGACCTAAAAAAATAATAACGTTGTTTATACCGAATATAAAATATAGTGAATAATCTATGACAAAGGTCACAAAGTCTAAACGGCAATAAACCCATTAAGGAGGAAGTAAACAATCTTACTTTATTTGATTTCAAACCGGCTGTTGGTGACATATCGTTTGGATCTGATTCTGGAATTGGTGTGTTAGGATCATCCAGATGAATTCCAGGCCAACCCACCCACAATCCATTTCCTTTTATTACTACTGGTGCTACTGCTGTCACGAGACCTCCAGCACTAAAAAGACTCAATAATTTTTAAAGAATTTTTTTTTATTTTAATTTTACCTTGCTTTTCTAACTAGTTTACCATCTTTCTTCTGTAAAACGAATGGAAGGCGATTGGCCACAACAATCATACTCCCCGAGGAGGACACGACATCTGGAAGCATTTCCCAGTGAGATCAAAACAAATCACAAAAATTAAATTTTTAAAAATGATTAAAAATTTCGATAATTTATTCCATCAGGAGGATGAACCACCGCTGTTTTTGAATCGAAATGAACAGAGATTAAGATATGCCACGGCTTTTAGGGGTCACCAGATAATCTTTCACTCGGGGACGCGACGATTGTGCCGGTTACGGCCCGTCCCGGAAGTAAGAACTCACTTTTGTCTGTTTTGGCCACCATTATTCGCTATTGAGGAGAGATACAACTTTGAAGATATCTAAATGAAAATTGACTGAGATCGTTCAATCGATCTTATTAAATAAAGACTCCACTTGGACGGGTGACAAGAAGAGTGGTCACTACCGAACTTCGTGATACTAGCCTTTTTAACGCCAAATGTTGTTGACCTATTGTGTTATCCCCATTTTTCAGTAAACATTACGTCTTCGGTGTATTTTTATTAATTTATTTATGATTTAGCATAAAATTCATTATAGTGGGAACATTAATTAGAAAAGAAACTGTTTTGCGCTCATTTTTTTTTAATAGTTGATTGCTTCATTGCTTTAATAAATGTCTAGGTCATTGGCAGGTAAGCCAAGCGCGAGTTTATTCACACCACGCTATTTTTGCGTGATAGAAAAAAAACAAACCAAATTTTCCATTGGGTTCCCTATACAAAATAAAAATTATCCTCGAATATTATCACATTACGAAACGTTTAAATCTGTTTGCGGTTGTAAACAGATTTAAAAAAATAAAATGGGTAGATGTTAATAAATTAACAGTTCTTTCGCATTAATTAACACACGAGAACCTTGACAATGAATAAGGTGTTGTCGGGTTTTATTATAATGCTGAAGACAAAGTGACAATATGGGTCAGATAATGCGTCACGTCCTTAGTTAATCGTCGCTTCAAAGGTTATCTAGGTTGTGTGACGCGACATAGAATTACCGATCAAAGTACCATTAGGACGCAATTTCTGGATGAAACTAGGTGCCTGCTTGAAATGCTTGGTTACTAGCCAGAAATGAAATCGAAACCTGCTAAAAATACGATTGATGAAGATAATTAAACTTCGCAAATTAACAGTGATAAACCAAAAAAAGTGTTATCCATTCATTGGGATGCCCATATATTTGCACTAATAGCACAAAAAAGCATTTATTAATGGATTTACCGCTTTCTAAAGGATTCAAGGTTACTTTTTATACGGTGATTGTTTGTCGGTTAGATTATGTAATAAATTTATGATCGTTTCCATTGTTCCCCATCATCACCTCTTCTTGTGGTATTTTTTAGACTTTGTTTTGGGTCGAATTTGAGATAATAAAGGAGTTATGTGCCATTATAGCGATAGTATAGCTATTTTAATGACCCACTTTTGCGGTATTAATGGTAAACACGGATTGTACAGTTATCTTCATATGAAGCGTTTTATATAGATTTATTTAACAAAACATCGATGGTGAAAACAACAATTAACCACACTACAACTTTAAACTACTTTATCTTGTTGCAATCTGATGTCTATTATGTTATAGAACTTTACTTTTAGGATACATTTAGTATTTCAAATAAATATTTAATAAATAATTTTAACAAAACTATTATGCCTAATGTAATCCGTTTTGATTGAAATATGTTAACGATAAGAAAACTTACTGGAATTTGCTGCTGTAGAAAACACATAAAATTTATAAATTTTTGTAACGTAAATGTCAAATTTACGTAGCCTAAACATGACCAAAACTGACATACACGAAAAAAAGTCATCATTTTGAAGTATGGATTATTAAAATATGGTAACCATAAATTAAATTTGACAACATTATTTTTCGGGTCAATTAATTTGGGTCGTAATACTCAATTTAATCTATCTAATTATACATAAAATCAATTAGTGTCGTGGTATACTTTTTTGAATTTCGCAAATAATTCTTGTTAATTCACACTTTAATTGGAGCAAACGATAACGACTTTAAAGCGGGATAAGAAATTATAAAATGGTATAAAACTATAAATAAAGATAACAAATCAAATAATTTTGAAATTAAAAAAAACTATTTTTATTAATTAAAAGATGCGTGTTTCAAAGGTCGAGTTGAATATTTGATAAAGTTAAAAAAATTATTTCGATTAGAAACGCACCGAAAAACACGTCTGTTTTTCAAAAATCAAACCCTAAAGTTTAACCAAGGTCAATGCTAATAAAATAATCTTATGGCTTACCACCATTCACATTGTATTCGCAAGGTAATTCTGGTAAAGTCTTCCACTTGCCCATCTTTTCCGGTTTAACACATACACTTAACTGTGGCTTAATTTTATATACCATCGCTCCACGTCTCAAGCATCATCGAGATTTCTTGCGAAACTTTTGAATTGCCACTCACAGATCTTAGCCAGAAAAATCGACGAATTAAATTCGATTATCTCACGGAAAAAGATTGGTTTTAGGGAAACCCCCGATTAATTGCGCAGCATTCTCAATGCTTTCAATGTTAAATTCTTTTATTTTTTCTACAGTCAATTATGTGGTAAGAAAATAAATTACCTTCTTCCTTAATTTTAAATTAATTTGATGAAATACCTATTACTCTTGGCATCTAACGGATAAAAGCTGAATTACAGAAATTTTCAGATCTCTATGTTATTGATTGGTTAAAATAGAATGGGTTTTACTTTTATGCAGTAGATGGCATTGTAATAGCAAATAACGCAAATTGAAAGATTATATTCCTTTATCAGATATAAAAAGAACAGGACTTAATATAATATATAAATGTATAGAAATTCCACCTATACAGTAAGATGAAGAGATAGGAGAAGTTCTACTCAGATCCGACTGCATCGAAGCCACGTCATCTTCCGAGGTCATGAGTGAAATATCTTAAAATCATCAGCATAAGCCAATACACCAGACTTAAATTTGTTTAATAAGTCGTTAATAAATATTACAAACAGTAGTGGAGCCAAGTTGGACACCAGATCGTGCAATAAACTCCACCGAAGCAAAGCCATTATAAAATACATAAGTAAATATGCTGAATAACAACTAAACTTAGAACTAACATCAGCATTAGAACTAAGACAAGACCTAGAACTAGAAAGATTCTGGGTTAGACGTACGTCCTCAGACTGTTCTATGAGAAACCTTGTAGTTCTAGGTCTAGTGTTAGTTTTGACCAGTAATTTACTTACTAAATATAATTCCTGTATAGGCGAGGATCAGTTTTGGTTACAGGTGCCATGTTACAACCTTCTTCAAAAACAAATTTTAAAGAAGTTTCTGCAGAAAATCAAACACATTGTATGAATATATATTATAGTTGACTTCTGTCAGAGATCTGGGAGTAACTTTTGATAGCAGCCTATCACATGTCGCTTCTTGTGCTGCGAGGATGCTTGGCTTTGTGCTCCGTACTTCACGTTTAATCACGGATTTTGCAGTATACATATCGCTTTTTCGGGTGCTTGTTCTGCCGAGACTGGAGTATGGTTCTGTTATATGGTCACCACATTATATCTCGCATCGTATTCTATTGAAGAGAATTCAAAAAAGGTTTTAAAAGAACCTTCCCTTCCGGGCGAAGGAACCTAACCCGGTTGGGGCAACGAATAACAAACCTTGGTCCAAAGGAACAAACACGACGTAAAATTTATTATTAAGCTGGTGAGTGGTCAGACGCTACCCGATACAGCTGTGTCTTCCATTTGAAGAATAGTATAATATTGTCCTGTAATTGGTACTTTGTTGGGCAATAACGATATATATTATTATTATATTTTTCATTAAAAAAAATCGGAACTAACACGTTCTTTCGGGTTAAGCCGTGCCTCTGAAGACCGAAAGTTTCCAGTTCTAGGTCTAGTGTTCATTCCAATGATAGTGCTAGTGTTAGTTCTAATTTTAGTAACTAAACAAGCGTTGTTGTTGAGGGAATTTATTTCATCTGAGCGTGCTCTGATTTTACTGTTAGTTCTAATATAAATGTCTTGCATCTTGTATCTTTCTCCTCAATTTGTGTGTCGAATGTTAAAACTCCGCCTTTTACGGTCGTTCCATTATCTCCTATTTCTTATATGGCGATAGATATATAACCACAAAGTTTACACTTCTAGATGTATTTGTTTTTCTTTTCATGTCTGTACATCATCTATTCATATTTAGAAATATGGTAGTGCCTCTTTCAATACCACTATGTTTATTACATACTTGGTGTGATATTTTCAGAGCAATTTTGTAATGGTTTTCTTTAATTTTTTAGATTCGCCGGGCAGTGTCAAGATCCGCCATGTGAAGTTTTGTTCTCCTCTACAATTGGCAGACTTTTTGTCTTTTCTTATAAATTTTTGCCTTCGTGCTAGTTTGCATATTGCAGGTGCTGCAATATGTAATATGCTTTTCTCAATTCTACATATACTTGCTTTTTAATATAAGTTACAGATTGTCACAAAACGATTAAATTATCGGGAATTGTGTTCCCGTTGGGTTCCAAAAATGCTCACGGATGTTCACAAAACGAAGCGACTTGGAAGTGCTTTGACATTTCTTAATCGATACAAAACGAAAATGATGGAAATGAATTCTTAAACAAAATTGTGACCGGTGATGAAACTTGGGTTTGTCATGTAACTCCAGAATCAAAACAACAGTTGATAGAGTGGAAAAAACAAAAATTTAAGCCAACTTTGTCATCACTGGCGGCATCTTTCCATGAAGGGGGTATAGAAAAGTTAGTGTTCCGCTACGACAAATGTCTGAACAATGGTAGCAACTAAGTAGAAAAATAGGTTAAGGCATGCTCTTACATGTAAAAATAAATTTTGATTTGAAAAAATGTTTTTATATGTTTTTTTTCAAAACGTTACTTATTTTACGGACAGGCCTCGGATATAGCTCATATGCCAAAATTGTTATCCAAACACAGCAGATGTTTAAATTTTTTTTTATTATCGTGGAATCTTACTCTCGTATCATTGAACAGTTCCTGAAATACATCCTTGTGGTATTTTTTCAGTTTTTGCAATAACCATAAAGACTTCTCTGAATTTCTTGCACTTGGTGTTCTTCTAAACTTTCTTCTTTTCTTTCATTTATTTCTCCAATACTAGTAATTGACTTGACATGGTTTCTACAGAAACGTCTCATTTATGCTGCATACGTCTTGACATACTTGCTTCTTTGTGGATTAGTATCTTACTTATATCTACCCTACGATTATCTAGTATGTCTAAAAGAATTTCTCTATTAGTTTTTTTAATATCCTCATTTTCCAGGACATGATTTGGCCAGATATCCGTCACTAAACGTTGTTTGATGACAGATATCAAGAATTGTCGATGATTAGAAAACGTTGAAAATGACACGTTTGACTAAATAAACCCGTTCTATTACTTCCCTAGCTTATATTGCATTGAGATTTCAACGGCGTTAGTTAAATCTCACGTGTGGCAACTATCAACTATGTTGTACCATAGTGTTGTACTGTAATGTATTATCATTATAATTCGTTAATGAACAACATTCATTGTTAAGTCCGATAGATAATGCATTTTAGATATCAGATCTTGCCTTATCAGATCTTACCTTATTACTTTGGAGACTTTATTAACTCTCTGACTTAAACAACAATATTTTTAGATCTTAAACCCATCTCAAAGTCTAGATTTAATGTGTTTAAGATTTATATTTTTAAGACAAATTTCTTATAAATATCCGCAAAAATATGGCATGTACTGTGAATATGGAATATGATTCACTCTTCCATTCTAATCGATAAGTTGATCTGAACACGAGTTGAAGTTTCCTCATCTATCTGCACTTCTATTCGAATTACTATTCCCAACTCACCCTATGATTGGGGTTTTTGAATGTAAACACGCTCCTTCAAATATTTCCAAATCGATCGTAGCACTTGTGCCAACTTGATGTGAATTATCTAAAATATACAGTTATTATAAAAAATATATTTACTTTAAAAAGATACTTTAAACATTTATGTCAAAATATTCGATCGGCTAATCGAGAGTTAAATGCTGTAAACATGTAACCGGATACAAAACATACTTTTACCATTAGCGTAGCGGGGTGAAAGGGTAAAGAGTTTTCACAAAACATGTGCGAAAGAGGAAGCGATACCGTTACGGTCTCAATATTAAGTTTTTTTGATTAGAATGCGAGCGGGAGAATTATTTGTTTACTGGTACTTTCTAGGTTTGGGGTAGCAGACGTCGTCCGTTGCACCTCGTTGCTTTTATGGACCAAAAAGCGGACGTGATAATGTAGGACCGTCGACGGAGACAACCGGTCTAACCTCGTTCGAAAATGGTGCGAGAGTTATGGCCCAAGTCGGGAATTGAATGGCCATTTTGTTTACCATTTTCAGATGGATACTGGTGAGCACTTTTCCCCCAAAGCTGTATTTCTTACTTTATAGTCATTTCAAATGGGGATATCACTTTTTATCGCCGCTTAACTGAAATTTTTACGTTTAAACATTTTTTAACATTATTTTAATATACGGTGGTAATTTTAATTGAAATGGAAATTCGTGTTCTTAGATGACTGAAATGTTGGTAATAAGTTTGCGCCACGTGCCAGATGGATTTTTCGGAGAATCGGCTACCCGAGTCTGGTAACAAAGTGATATGATGATTAGGTTAAATGGCGAAGAATAATACCTCGTTAGAGATTCATTGAAAACTTGGGACGGTAGCAGCCTGTCGGACGTCCGATTTGAGCTTTTCTAATTTAATGCCAGCCACCGGGAAAGTTCCAGTTGCCCGAGCTCCTTCGGCGTGGGATCAAAGACTCGGACGTGGAGGCTTTAATTAACTTCTCTATTTGTTCTTTTTAATTAAAGCCGGTCGCAGGACTTTGCTCAAAATTTATAATTGTTTGAGGGGTGCGCGCAAACAAAGCCACGATTTCTTCTTGCAATGAACGTAAAGTTTCCACTTTCCGTGGTCGCAATATTTCGCAACGGATTTCTGGAAATGACAAGACATTCTTTCTTTCTTTGTTATTCTAAAAAGAAAAAATAAACAAAAGGAATGCTATACAACTCGACTTAATTAACCGGTTTATTTTTGATAATAATTTTTCTTGTTAATAGCAATAAAGGTTTCTTATGGAAAATTTTACAACTTCTGGCGAGGATTATATGCCTGAAGAAGTGGGTCGATCTACTGGAATGAAAAAGATAGTCTGTTGCTATTGGCTCAGAGAAACACAGAGGGCGGTTGTGACCAAATTCTTGGCTGACACCCGTAGATAAAAACAAAGCAGTTGACAACTGCAGTCACCCACTGACGAGATAGGGGCAGTTGGAAAACTTGTTAACAGCGGCACGATAAGAAACGAAGGACATATTGTCTGGTCTGCCTCTGGTCCCCAATCCTCATCGCGCTCGCTGCAGCTAGCAGATCTCATTTCAGATCTCGTCTAGTCGAGCAGTTTTAATGTTGATTTCAAT